AATTTGTGTAGGCTTTGAGGCCAGTTATGAAATACGCTGTGCTAGCAATAATTTCAACCTGGCCAACTGTTTCCCCTGTCTCATTTTGAAACCAGCGAACACTGTTGTTCGTAATGGGACACACGGGCCCAGGAGGTGCAGGCTGGGTCCAGGTCACACCTAGATGGTTTGGCTCGTTCTCCACCATCAGTACTGTTATGCTGGACGGAGCTTGTGGTGCTGGGGAGATTATGATAAAGCAATGAATATGGAGTGTTACTATAATGGTTGTAACTAGTTGTAATGCTAGAACTATTACAGTTACTACACCATTGCTGAAACTAATACTAATATTCCTGCTACTATTACAGGTACAACTATCACAGTGCCTATAAATAATATCCATCCCTATGGTCATTATTATTATCATGATCTCTAACCCTATTTAATACTGTACTAATCACAGTTTAGTGTTTCATGAAAACATTTACTTTCAATAGCAGCTTTTCGGCAATGAAAAGTTTATATTTACCACAGGCTGGTAAGAATAGTCACACATTCTTCCCAAAATATGAATAATAATCTTGAGATTCCAGAAATATTGTTGATGAAAAAAATGTCAGTTGAAGGATTAGTAATAGAACTATGCATGAAAAAGACCAAGATCTAAAGAGAAATTAAAACCTTCTGCAAATAGTCAAACAGGAAACAGAATCTTGAAAATATAATAGGTACAGGCAATGAGACATTACATTGGATATGTTTAACAAAACTAGTTTTTGTCTATGTATTTCTGTTTTTGTTTTTTTTTTCAGTGGAGCAGGGCACGCTTCTACACATTATATCTGAACACAATATATTTCTTTTATAGTAGACTCATACTCTTTAGAACACAATAAGTAAAAATAAATATTTCTTAAAGTTGTACAATCATTGAAATAAACATCGTCTACGTACCTATCATTCCAGTATTTCCAGTATCTTCAGTTTGGTCTCCATGCCCCTCCTTGTTAACAGCTCTGACAGCGACCCTGTATTGGGCACAAGGGTCCAGTCCGGTGATGACATGTGTCCAACCGGCAGCGATTTCGACCTCGCCAGCTGAGCCACCTGTGTCGACTCTTGACCAGCTGATGATGTTGTTGGTGATGGGGCATAGGGGACCGGGCGAAGGAGGCTGCATCCAGGTGACTTTGAGGCGGTCTGGCATGTCATCCACTGTCACTACTGTCACGTTGTCTGATGCTTGTGGAACTGGAGAAACATATAGTGTATTTGCATACATAAATACTATGTGTGCACACGGACATATAATGCATTGAAACCTTACGAAAGACCCGAGCAAATCATTTAGAGAATTGGTCCCCACCCCTGGATTGTAAGGATGGAATGGAGTGAAAATATAAATGATTAATGCAAAGTGTCAAGCCCCTACACTTCACACAACTTGCCAAGCGTTTTGGAAAGGATGTTGCCAGCTACTGACGGAGCCTCGGCTTAAGGTTGCCCCATATGTCGTAGAGATGCTCCACTAGCTTAGGCACGGTTATGGTATCGGGAATTACCCAGCCAGTCTTTGATTATGTCAACATCAGCTCATTCGAGCCAGTCCTTTATCAATATTGACGTGTAGGCCGGTGCACATCCAGTTGGAACACGGTTGACTGGCAGTGGCCAAAGTATTCCTCAAGTTTAAGGCGAGGAGCTCCAAGTAGTGATTCTCGTTCTAAGTCATGTTCCTTGACAAGACAACAAGCTTCCCTGTCCCATGGTATCCTGTGGAACCCCATACCATCACTGAATCAGGGTGTTTCACTGTGATTTGCAAGTACTATGCAGAGAATGGATCTGCACCTGTCCCCACCAAGCGTTCCCTCTATTTCCATTCACGCCTCATCAGTCCACAATTCTCTCATCACTTCGGTGCCAATTCAAATATTTCTTACAAAATATAACTTTTGTCTTTGTTTCTTGGTGAGCAATGGTTTACGTCTCGACCGTCTGTGTTTATAACAGAGGTCGTCCTCATTATTCATTTCTCCTATAGTCCGCAAACCAGAAAGGGAAGGTGGGTCGTGTAGAAAAAAAAAAAAAAAAAAAAAAAAAACAGGTGATGAGTGCCATTATAAAATTTCATTCTCTCGTTACCAGCGCCTTATACACACTCGTGAGAGATATGTACGCAAAGACGACAAACGTCCGTCTCCTTTGCCAACATCACCCACTCCAATGCAACTGACGTATATATATATATATATATATATATATATATATATGGAGTACCTGATTCTCGCGCCAATTGTGATGGCGTTGGCCGTATATTCACATAAAATTTGGAAAATTAGAGATCACTGAAACTATGAAACACAAAATATCAAAGTGCCTATAAAATTTATAAAAAGTACTCTTCATACTCCAATTTGGCTGACTGGAGGCCGAGTCGCAAAACAGCTGCATTTCTCACACATTCCCGGTTGAAAGATTGCATAGAAACATTAAAATCATGTCTGCTTTTAGGGCCACCAACCCCAAAAATGTGTGTTCTCAGTAACCAAAATTGATTGAGAATAACTGATCAGGTTATAAGGGTTGCGGACTGAAGACTTGCTGCTAGTTCATACAGCAATATTTATAGCAGGCAAAGTTTACTTGACGATAATGCATCCTTATTCTCTCTCTCTCTCTCTCTCTCTCTCTCTCTCTCTCTCTCTCTCTCTCTCTCTCTCTCTCTCTCTCTCTCTCTCTCTCTCTCACACACACACACACACACACACACACACACACAACACACACACACACACACACACACACACAACTCTAGAGGGGGAGTGATATATATGGTTGGATGTCGATGCAATGAGGCATGTTGATCCACTGACATTGATAAAATAAATGAGGAATGTGTTTAAGGTCTAAGAAAGGTTCTGATCTTTCGGTGAGTATATGTTGATTCTTTCTCATTATCTTATACTTGAAACAGCATTATGCACTAAAGAATGGTATTCATATGTAAGAAAATAAAATCGGAAAAAGCATCGTCTACTTGCCTATCATTCCCGTAATACCAGAATCTTCAGTTTGGTCTCCATACCCCTCTTCAGTGATAGCTCTGACAGCGACCCTGTATTGGGCACAAGGGTCCAGTCCGGTGATGACATGTGTCCAACCGGCAGCGATTTCGACCTCGCCAGCTGAGCCACCTGTGTCGACTCTTGACCAGCTGATGATGTTGTTGGTGATGGGGCATAGGGGACCGGGCGAAGGAGGCTGCATCCAGGTGACTTTGAGGCGGTCTGGCATGCCATCCACTGTCAGTACTGTCACGTTGGTTGGTGCTTCTGGAACTGGAGGAATATAGTGTGTTTACATACATACTTTGCTCATGCCATATGTATATATATAATATATATATATATATATATATATATATATATATATATATATATATATATATATATATATCGTGTATATATATGTGTCTTATTGCCTTAATTATATCAACAAATGAAAGTAAATAATGTTAAATATCACAGAGATACAGAAGGCTTCTGGTGACATTCACGCCACCGAAGTCAAAACCACGTCTTATAACTCGGAGATCTTTCAAATTCTCACCATGTCCTTTCAGCGACACTCGTTATTGACATAATTTTACTTGTATTTAGTGTATTTGGTGTACTGCTAAAAGGGCACAGGCATACTGTATACACCTTTATAAAAAGTATTTTGTATCAAAAGACATAGAATGCGGTTCACAATGAAGATATAAATCCCTATCTGAGGCTTTCATATAACGTGTCATTGAGTATCGCGCCCTGATTGGCTAGCAGGTGTATATCGTGACAATGGCATACAAACTAAGAAAAAAAAAAGGTTGTAATATGCGCGTAAAGGGGATAAAATGTATCAACGTGTTATGGGTTTCGGAATTGCTATAAAAGAGGTCTATACCCAAATTTTCCTGCCTTAGACTAATGTTCTTAAAATCTTTCCAAGCAGACATATCAACAGAAATATATATGTACATGTTTGTGAATGACATGTATATATAGACCGATAGATAGATAGGTAGATATAGCAATGTAGACACAGACAAGGATGTAGATTGATACTGATAGCTACAATACCTTCAGATTCTGTGAACAGTATTTCACTCTCTTGCCCTCCCAAGGCTTCTAGGCCCTCCAGCGGCTGCACCCTGAGTAGATATTGCTGGCAGGGAGACAAGCCCGTTATGTTGGCAAATGTGTCTGATACTTTTACTTCTCCCCCGGCGTCTGGAGGCGTCCAAGCCAGGTGAAAGGACTTCACCCTTGAGCACTTCCCAAGCAGCTCCCATTGTACAAAGACGCCTCTATGTTCTGGTGTGGATTTCAGGTCGCCGACAACGGGAGATGCATCTGAGGGCGGATGAAGAAAAATGTAAGGATAGATTTCGTCCAATAATAATAGAAAAGGTAATAAACTAGTCACATCACAAAATAATTAGGCTACTGTCGCTTTTTTGCCTTTTTGCCTGTGTGTGTGTGTGTGTGTGTGTGTGTGTGTGTGTGTGTGTGTGTGTGTGTGTGTGTGTGTGTGTGTGTGTGTGTGTGTGTGTGTGTGTGTGTGTGTGTGTGTGTGTGTGTGTATGCGTGTGTGTGTGTGTGTGTGTGTGTGTGTGTGTGTGTATTCAAGGGCCAATTTTCACTTCAGTTACCATCTTGGCTTCCAGGATTACATTACCGAAAATTGTTTGATATCACGTACCTATACATAGTTTATTTTACTTATTAGATTTTACATCGTGGTAATATAACTGCATCGATATAAAAAGCTCACAAAGCTTTTATTCATAATGGAAACATATTTCACATTATGATAGTTATATTGCAAGCAATGACAATGCAAAAGGAAACCGTTACCATTATGGAGTATAGATTCTGGATTTTTAGACAATCATGCACCAATTTCCATCATGACGATCATGTTTTAGTCCTTGCCATTTACGTTGTGTTGTGTCATTTATTGCCTACGAGTCG